GAGCTACCTTCTTTTGTCACCTTGTGTATTTTATTTGATGCCTTAAAAGTGTAATTCTCAGCACTCTGCCAGCCTGCCAAAGGGGTCCACGGGACCCCCCAAAGCCAAAGAACCTAGTTTTAGAGTACATAGCGCCTTGGCAACCAGGTGGTGGGTGTGGCTTGTGAGAAGGGGGTTTGGAGGACAGGATCAGGGGAGAAGGCAGGGTCAAGGGAGCAGTCAGTCAGCTGTGACCTCTGGAGGGCGGAAGGAAGAGCTGGCAGGCCTGGGGGGGGATGTCTCCCTGTGAAGGGACACAGCCAGTGGGGACAACAGCCAAGGACGGACCAGCAGGGCCCTCCCGCCGAAAACAGCCAGGGCTGGGGCTGGGCCGTAGACCCAGGGTCCCTCTCTGAGCCTCAGTTTCCCCTCTGTAAGCAGGCTACCGTGCGTACCTCCCGGGACGGTTCTAAGGACTGAATGAGATGGTCCACATAACACAGAGTGTCCGAAATACCATCGGCTCCCACTGTGGCTTCGCCGCTGCCCCCACAGGGAAAGGCAGGCGGGGCCGAGACGGAGACCGTCATGCGCGTGTTAGTAACTGCCACCCGTGCGTGCGGGGCCTGTGCCTGGCATGTCCACCATGACATCGTTTTACTGTCCCCGAGACCCTCGAAGCGGGACAGAGAGGGACAGAGAAAGAAGCGAGACAAGACGGAAGGTGAGTGTGGGCAGCAGGAACGGACAGCGGAGGGAGGAGATGGGGTGTGCGGGGTGGTGGGGGGCTGAGGAGGAAGAGGATGAGCACGGGGGACTGAGGTGTCGGGGAGAGAGCAGTGGACCCCAGGAAGGGTGCAGAGCTCCCCGCCACCCCAGACCGGCGTGAAACACAGGGGGCCGGGAGGGGTTCGTAAGGAGAGGCTCCAGGTCGGCGCGTGCACCCCTCAGGCTTCCCGCCCCAAGAGCCGGGGGGCCCCAGACCAGGCCGCCTACCTCGGTGGCAAAGAATCCTTTGGGGCGGTGTTTGCCCAGGGATGCGAGGCCCCCCGCCACAGGACTCTCGCTGGCGCTGATGGTCTGCTGAGCGGCCGCCAGGATCTCGTCCAGTTTGTCTAGGGGGAGGGAGATGGGGGGTGGAGACACAGCGATATGAAGACGCTGCCACGAGCCCGCACGGTGTCTCACAAGAGCCAGAAGAGGACACCCCTGTCCCCACCACCCTGGTGGACCGGCGGTGCCGCTGGCGATGGTCTCTGGCCCAGCCATGGGGAAGGGGAGGGCGAGAAGGCGGAGGCGTGGGACCGGACAGCCATCACGAGGGAGGCGGGAGCTCGGACTGGAAGGCCGGGGCCCCCCCGAGGGTGACCGGCGGGGGGCGCGCGGGGCAGGGGCCCTGGGCTGTCTTACTGAGCGCCATCTGGTACACCGTCCGCTTTTTCTCCATGCTGGGCACGGGCGCCGGCGGCTGCTCGTACTCTGCGGGCGAAGGATGCGGCTGAAGCGCGCGGCGCCGCGGGGGGCGGGGCAGTGAGGGGCCCGGGCCGCGGAGGGGCGAGTCCGCCGGTGGGGTCGGGACCGGGGCCCTCCCGCCAGATCTGTGCCCACTCACCACTCTTCTTCTTCCAAGGGGAGACTAGCCCGGGGGGGAGGCAGTAGAGGAGCCAAGAGTTAGGACGTCAGGGGCAGGCGAGGGCCCCCCTGTCTGGATCGCCCGCCGCCCTCGGGGCCCTGGGCTGGGGGCGGTCAGCTGCCCGCACCGCCCCTCAGGGGAAAGCCGGACCCCCAGGTCCTCTGTCGGGAGGGAGGGGCTCACCCTCCATGCTGGTAGTGGGGGTCGAGGGAGCCCGGGGGGCAGGTGATGGGGAATGGGGGTGCCGACAGATGGAGAGGGGCTAGGAAGGGATGGGGACCCGCAGAGAGGGACGTCCGGACCCAGAGAGACCCCGACAGACAAGCAGATACAGAGGACAGCGGTCGGTCGACGCTCAGACGCCCCTGCCCAGCGACACACACGGGGGCCAGAATCAGGCTGGCCGTGGACGAGGGACAGGACGAGGACAGGAGTCCCGGTCACTGATGATACTAACGAAGTCCGGGGACCGTCCCGGCCCCCCTGCCCCGCCAGCCCCACAGGCTCACCCATCTCCTCCAGCTCTGAGGTCATAGACTTGGATCGCAGCGAGATGGCCGGGGGCGGGAGCCGCTTAGCCTGCTGGGGTGCTGAAAAGGTGACGTTGGGGGGCGATGCATCAGTGCCGCGGGGAGAAGCCCCCCGCCCCACCCACCAAAGTGCTCCTAGAGCTCGGAGAATGGCGCCCGTCAGCATGCTGAGCCCCCCACCGCCGCCGCCTCAGCGTCCCCCCAGAAGGGTCCTGAGCAAGCAGCCTTGGGGACGGGAAGGCCCGGGGCGGGGACCTGCCACCAGTGCTCCTGAGGGCCTCGGTCTGGTGGCCACCGAGTGCCAGCCCTGGCCACGCACCTTTCTTGTGGACGGCCTCGTCCATGTCCGGGTGCCTGGTGACCATCACCACCTTGACCATCAGTGTGTTGCCCCCTTGCCGAATCATGTTTACCACCTGCCGGTGGCCGACCTTCACCACATTCTGCCCGTTCACCTGTGGCACAGACACCCCCGAACCACGCCCGGCAGGTGAGGGAGGAGGGCTGTCCACTCCGGAGTCCCCAGGGAAGTGGCGCTCTGCCTCGCCCCACCGGCAGCACCGGCGGCCCCCTCTCTGCCCCTCGCCCTGCCCACCACCCTCTTCCCGGCAAAGCCTCATCTCTCTGTTCCTGTAACTCTCCTGGCCGCGGGGGTGACCGAGGAGCCGGGCCTCCGTTATTCACCCCTCTGTCCTGCCCTGTCCTCCTTGCACTGTGCGTGTGTGTGCGCGCGCACGTGCACGCGTGCGAGCTTGGGGACAGCTCTGTCATCTTTTGAGACGCTTCGGAGAGGCTTTTGGATCAAGTCTCTGAAGAAAGCAGAAGCAAGGGAGTTTGGCGCCAAGGTGTAATCTGGACTTGGGCAGCCAGGCCCTAGCGTGGACCACGCAGGGCCTCGGGATTCGTCCCCAGGGTCCCCCGCGGAGGGAGGGGGTGTCTGCGGCAGCTGGGCTGGGGCTGGAGGTCGAGACTCACCTCGATGAGGAAGTCCCCCATCCGCAGTCCTGCCCGCCAGGCCACACCGCCCTCGTCCACCGACTCCAGGTACTGCAGGGCCGGGAAGGCCGGGGTGGGGGTGAACTCCTCGATGGGGGTCTGCGCTGCAGATGGGAGGAGCCGGCGGGGTCGGAGGGGCGGGGGTGGAGAGGCCGAGCAGGGGACGGGGCTCAGACCCAAGTCACGGAGGCCTTGCCGTAGCTGAGGGACCGGCACCCTGGGGTGGGCTGGGGTCCCTTCTCCTGT